TCTCCCAGCTGCTATAGCACAGCAGGTTTTTTGTTTGTTTGTTTGTTTGTTTTTTGTTGTTGTTGTTTTGTTTTTGTTTTTTTGCTTTTCTTCTTTCTTCAGTCTGCTCTCCCAGAGGCCCAACCAGCGTCACTCCCTGGCTCGGCTCTGGCCAGCGGCAGGTCCCTTTTGGAGCCGGCTGGAGCTGGCTCTTACCTGATGTGGGGCTGCTGCTGGGTTCTGCTCATAGGCCAGCCATGCAGCCCCCTTCCCCCCCTCTGCTCTCTCCCATTCCCCCTCCCCCCCCCCCCCCCCCCCCCCAAAAAAAAAAAAAAAAAGCCGCTGAAACCTAATACACCAATATAGATAAGGAGTTGCACTCGCTGAAGGCATGAGCAAGTGTGGTAGACTGAATACTTTGTTAGTAGTTAAAGGACAACTTCCATACAAGATTAGAAGTGACCTCACTTCTGGCAAAAGTCCTGCCCGTCACAGTCACATGACAAATTTACCCCAGAAATATGTTTTGCTCTTAGGACCAGGAAGTACTCCCTCCCCTGGCCCACCTGAGCTGTCACTTTGCCACAGTCCGGCACACCCCCTGCCATCGCAGGGCTCCACGTGGCTGCCTGGCACCTGAAGCCCTGTCTGCCTGCCATTGTGGCCTGTGTACATGAAGGTCATGCTGAGTGAGAGCCTGTTGTCTGAGCATCTGCTACATGTCGACATAAAGATCATCAGCATGTCTGAGGGTAACAAGCCTCATTATTATGGCGCTAACGATATCAGGAAAGCATATGGGACAAGAAACTTCTGTGCGCTTTGTCAGACACTGTAGAACCACAGGTGCTGCAGAATCAGAGCAGGTCTTCATGGCAGTAAATCCTAGTGCTGGCTCTGGCTACTCTGTAGCACTGCAGATAACATAAGAAGAATAGGGTGCCCTAATGGCAGACCACTGTGCAGGGAATAGTGGCAGCAGCACAAGGCCGTAGCAATTAAAGTAATTGTGGTTTTGTTTGAGATTAAAAGGATATGCAGAAAAGATTCACAAATGTAAAGGCTGAAAATGTGGTATGTATTGTGAGCAATCTTGAAAATAGACCAGCACCAGTGCTTTTTATCCATAACCAAAAATACAGAAACATGGAAGAGTGGCATTTTTGATGACATGGGGCATGTACAGAATGCCCTTGACCTGCTGGCCTTGGAGTAAATGAGAAGGCATGGCAGACTATCATAGGCCATTGTGAAATAGCATGGGATACTTCTCTGCCAAAATGGTAGTCACTGTGAGCTACGGACATCCTGGTCCATCATTGCTGTACTACTGTTGGAAGCTCACGTGTGACTAGAAAAGGGGCAGGACATGTGAGGTGTGTGGACCATGTGAGAATGGTACTTGCCATGTCTTTGTGTGAAAATTGCCCTGTAAGTACATTTTGTCTGTCTCTAAAGGGACACATCAGAGGGTTTTGGCTGCTGATTCTTCAGAGGAAGTTGTGGTAAGGAAAGAAGGCAGCAGCAAAAGAAAATATCATTCTCTCTGAAGTTCTCAGAATTCTTATTCCTATTTTATTTCTTTTATTCTTTCCTCTACATTTAAAAACCAGAGGCTTGTGCTGTTTGGAGGGAGGCAGGGATGGAGAGAGGAAGGGCAGGGACAAACAGCCATAACCCCTATAAAAGCTGTTGTGCTCTGAGGAAGGCTTGAGGTTTTTTGTAGATAAGGACTGTGGGAAAGGGAAAGACAGGTTGCTGCCTCCTTTTAAATACTGCTTTGATTGTACTGTCCGCAACACTCCTTTTAGCATTTTTCTCACCTTTAAAGTCCCTTCCTGAAACCTTCTCACTTATCTTTGATTGTTTCTTCCATCTTGTATCTTATTTCCCACCTTCCTCCCAACCTTAAGTGCTTACTGTTCTGACACCATTTTGCTTGTTTTTGCAATGAAATTGTGTGCTGCCTAAATGTTTGAGAAGACTGATATAGCTGTGGTGAAGAATAACTTCACTAAGGTTGGTGCGGTTATAGTGATACAAAAGTCATTACATTGAAAATAAAGTTAGGCCCTTACTCTCCTAGTTTTCTAAGCCTTCCTTTCTGGAAATGATTCACTGATGTGTCTGTAAGGACTGCTGTCTGGAATTTAACAGCTTATTTTAACAGTTTCCAAACCTACTAACTTTTCTAAGAAAATTAATCTCTGGAAATGAAATTATTATGCTTCTAGACCAGCCACAGAATAATCTTTCTCCACTGACTATAGAGGCAGCTTAAGATCCTGACCTAAACCAGATTTCTAAAGTGGATACACCAGTTACATGACATGGGATGAGTCAAGTCCATAATCCCTTTCACAGACCTGCCAAGTTCTATTCTAGAAGAGCTATGCTTTTTTTACCCTGTTGGAAGTCTGCTCCAATTTTTCATACTCTGGTGGCTAGTATTCTTTTAGTTAACTGCCTGATATTATTTGTGTTCAGTTTCTATCTATTCTTTATGCTCCAGCATTTTTCTTTAGCTTAAGCAGCTATTGGACTGGTCCAGTGTTTACACCTTTTTGTATTGCTAGCCATACACTATCTTCATAGAGACATGTAAGTGCCTGTTCCATTTTTCACCTCAACCTTTACTTTGTGAGGTCAAATCATATTAGTCACTTTTTAATAGATGGGCCTTAGAGCCTTTATCTCATCTTGGTTACCTTATTTTTCACCTGGCCTAATTTGAAAGAATCTTTCTTGAGCATGGCTGACCTGTGCTGTGAGATCTTGCCACTACCTTAAAATAATCTCCTTAATCCAGTGCTCCTAGGATCACAGTTGTCTTTTCTTGGCAGTATTCCACCAGAAGCTGTGTATGCTTGTACAGACTTGCCTGACTGGCTTGAGTGTTGCTACTAGTACAGCCACAGGCATACAGTGCTCATTAAAAGCTGAACAAATAGCTCAAAATTCTGGGGAAATATTTAAGAACCCTCTCACACTGTACTGCCTGCTGCCACCGTAACTAAGGTTGCATTACATCAGCTAGCTATAAACTAAATAGCACAGGTATAAATGTCGAAAGTTATCCTTGTTACAGATCTCAATGTTAGTTCTTAGCTCACATCTTTCATCTTGTCTTTCACTAGATCATTAGCGATTTAGTTTCTGTTCTTTCTTCTTCCCTTCATCCAGATTCTGTAAAGCCTGCTTTCACTATGAAAAAATGCATATGCAGACTTTAATATTATTACCGTCCTCTTACGGAAATTAAGATAGCGATGAGGTGGAACAGTACTTCCTTGATTCACCTTCATTTTGAAAATCTCTTCTCTAGGCCAGATCTTATTTCTCTCTCTCTCCTCCTCCCCCCCCCCCCCCCCCCCTACCTACCCTCTTCCCCCCAGTTTGCCCTCCCTGTTTCCAGCAGCAGCAAGCAGATACAGACGTAAAGCAAAGAGACACAGCCTGCTACATCTTTTCTGGCCAGTGAAATACCTGTTAGTTCTGTTCCTTTTCTCATTTCTGAGGTGATAGCATCCTTTCAAACATGTTACCAATTTTCCAAGAGCAGTTTCATCCCTTTTTTACACCGTCCCTGGTGGAATTTGCTTACAGCTAGCTGAACGCACTGATATTTTAGGGCATAGTTTTATGATACCATCGACTGAGTCTTTACTGCCAGCTATGCATTCCATTCCCCTATCGCTAGCATTTGTTGGACCTCAGAGTGCGGCTGTTCAGATATTTACAATAGGAAGGGGAAAAAAAAAAAAAAAAAAGGAATCCTTGTCTACCATTTTAGCTCCCTAACCCCCCCTCCTAGCCAGGTCTCAAATGGGTAACACAACACACATGATGGATGGACAGGAGTAAGCGAGTGGAGGTACAGAGTGAAACTGTTCCTCTTGGCAGTAACTGGCAGTTAGCTTAGTCCAACCACACTGAAAAAACACACCTGAAGTTTTATAATCTCTGTGTGAATAGATCACAAGGTATGTGTTCCTTACTCACAAATGTTTGCCTGTCTTGCCAAGAAACTGTTCATATGATTGCTGATTGTTTGTAATATTCTGCAGAATGTCCATTTGGTCACAAGATACGAACAATTGTGACCTTGACTAGAAAGACTTGACTGTAATAACAACTAAACGACCACACCACATAAAACTCACTTCATTATGAAAAAGAATGTTCTTGCTCAGTCTTCTTCCTTAAAAAAAAAATCACTACATATGCATGCATTTTATTTTCACTTCACTGGCATAAATACAGAGAAGCTAAAAATGTGAGTCAATGAAAGCATTAATAAGAACATGTAAAAATGCTTTCAGTTGAATAGAGGTGGATGACTAGTGAATAATTTACTATGTTAGTAAAATTCAAAATCCCCTTGCATAATCTGAAATTCCTTTCAAATCACAGGAAAAAAGCTAACAAAATTACCAAAAAAAGACTTTCTTCTGTTTAGTCAGCTTTTTGTTGTACCGTCAACTTTCATTCTGTTGTAAAAAGAACGTGTTTTTCTGCAATTCTAGACTACAAAACATGGTCTACTGATACACAAAGGTTATTATGGATGTGGTTTATAGTAAGGGGCATTAGTTTAAAAAAAAAAAAAAAAAAACACCCTTAGGCAATAAGCATTTAAAAGAAGCCACAACAACCTGTAGCATATGTAGCTGATGCTTAAAAATATCCTTTTTCTGCTGATGCATTCCTATGCTTCAGAGTACACCTCTCACCTTTAAAGCTGTCACACTCCAAACATTGCTTGTACTGAAGAGAATCACTGTTTTGCCTCCAGCAAGGAACATAAGTGTTGCAAAACTGACTCCTCCTCTAATGGGGAGAGCATGTACAAGTACACAGAGTTGTATTTCTCCTGGAGCTGCCAGGCTGAATATTTTGCAGTCAGAGCTGTAAACCTTACAGGCTTTTTCTTTATCTTTTTACTTTGAGGTGTTTTGTGTTTGTTTTTTTTTCACTCTTTCTTTCTGGATTTTTTCCTTTATTTTTTTCTTTTCTTTTAGTATTTGTGAAACTCTTTGAAATGCTGGATTTTCACGTCCTTGTTCAGGAAGTATTCGTGAATTGACATGGGTCAACATACTTCTCGTTACGAGGCAAAAGTAAGTACTGCAGTTAAACCTGTTCCTACTGTATGTTTATCTGACTATAAAGCATTCAGTGTCATTGTATAAAGAATGGAGTAGACTATTAGCAGAATTGAAAAACTTTAAAAAAGTAAAATCAGTTAAAATTAATGTGTTATGCTAAATATTGTATAGTTCATATTCTGTAAAAGGACCACTTTAAGTTGACAGCGGTTGCTCTTTTAAAATGCTGAAAGAAACCAGACACAGAGATGCCACTTCTCGTACACAGCTTTTTAAAATGACATTTCAGAATTGCATTTATTTTTGGAAAATATTTTTAATGCAGTTAGTAATACTGATCTCATGTTATTACCCCTTTATATTATGTATGTTCACTAAGTAGTCCTTATTTATGTAATTCATTAATGAAGATATGCTGGTTGAAGAAATAAGCTTCCCGGAGCTCCCGTAACTGCTGTCGGTCGTATCTTCCAGTATCTACTGTTCCCTAGCTATTATTTTATTCTTCCTGCATCACTCTCTTCTGTGTTCATATATATATGCTCACTAGTTACCAGATCTTCTTCTGTGTTATTATCCTCAGATTTCTTTGCTATTGGCATAGACTGGAAGTCGAAGGTAGAAGGGAAACAGATATCAGAGAGAAGGGGAAGAAGAGAAAAGCTGCTAACTGAGCTGGTGAGAAATAAAGAAAACAGTGTGATTTGATTCTGAAAGCATCTTTTTAGCCATTTTTCTCTGCATCTTATTGAAACACTGCATTGTCGTCATCAGTAATATTTTCACTATTCCAACAGCACCTGAGAATTCATTAATGGTCTGGGAAGGGGAGGGGAATTGAAGAATATGCACAGTTTCCTTTGCTATCAGTTCCCTCTAGAGAGCGCAGCAGCCTGCAAGACAGTGTATAGATTGTTTCCGTATTGCCAGCATAAGCTGCAGAAATGTTATTCTGCAGCTATCAGTCTTTTCTTCTTTTGAGAGAGGGTTTGCTATTATTGGGCTGAAATAAGCACTCCCTTCCCCAAGGCAGGTGGGTGGATTGCCTGTGGAGTGAACAGGCTTAAGCAACAAGTAATGCTTGAATATCTGTATAATGAATGCAGCCATTTGCTATATACACTTTCAGTGGCACCAAATATCTACAGAAAGTCTTTGGCACGAGAGCACATCGGTCTTCTTTGATGAAGTACAGCCTAGTGAAAGAGTCTGGCACAAAGAATAATGTCTGCCCTCATCTGGCATGCAGCTTGCAATCTTTAAGGAAAACATAATGTAGACAAATGCTGATAGTATAAAGGCAATGAAGAGCAAAAGCTGATAGGTAATCCTAGTATTTTTTGAGTTGTTAAAATTGGTCTGGAAATCTTTCAGACTAAATTTTCCTGTGAAAGATGCAATGCTTTGACAGGGCAACATTATCCAATGGACTGAGCTTATAAGGATATTTTAGGTTTCTGATTTTTCATCTTTAAATCTGAAAAGGGCTTTATATGCTTTTAAGCTATTTCCATTGGATTGTCATCTTTTTTGTTGCCCAGCTAAAGATCTCTTTTAAATTTGTTCAGCTTTCATGGCTCTGGATGAATTAACACCCGTTGCAAATGAAGCTCCGTTATCAGAAACAGCCCTTGCAAACAAAGCTGGTTTTTGAAACCTCTGGCCCTCATTTAGAGCTTGTGGAAGTTTCACTTTTGCACATTCCTTACTGAAGTGCAGCAAATGGATTTCAGCCACTTCCCTCAGCTGCATCAGGATTTCAGTCCAAACTTTTAGTCTCCCAGGCATGTATTCCTAATCAGAATTAGACACAGGTTAATTAGAGACTCATAAAACTACAAAAACACTTTGTTCCTATTACCTCTTGGTTTTGTCTTGTTTGAAGCTAATATTCAGGTACTTGCAGACACTTAAATTTACAGACCTTAATGGTGTTTGTGTACCTGCATGTACATACATATGTACCAATACACTTCTTATCCTTCAGGCAGGATTTTGTTTGGGTTTTGGACGAAATTCCTAATACCCTTCTTCTAATACCCTTCTTGCAAAGATCTATTCCGCCAAGAAAATCTTAATCTTCTGTGGCTTCAGCATCAGTGCCACTTCTGGTTCTCATTTATTCCTTCAGTACAATTGCCCTTAGAGAGGCTGGATGACTTCAGAAGGTAGAATCAAAGCACAACTCAGCCTGTACCAAAACTTGCTGGTTGGACTAATTAATTGGGCTAATAGAATGCTCTGATTACATAATTCACAAAGACTTCCTTGTTTACCTTTTCCTGATAATGCTTTTTGGGGAGATGCCTTCATTCCCTGATTAGGTCTCCATTCTTGTATAGCTTTGACATTTACCCTTGCATAGCTTTCACATTTACCCTCATTCCGGCTGGTCTTAATCCTTTTGAAGAACCAGCTCATAGTACTGCAACATTTTATATTGATTAGTCAGCTCTGGCTATACCTATTCTGCAGTCCTCCCCCACCCCAAGTTATAATGTGGAGCAATTTAATAAACCATTATGAAATCAAGGATTCAGATTTTTCCATGAACTAAATAATGACAGAAGGAAGGTATCTCACTTTCTTGGCCTTCCGCCTTGCTATCTTTTTTATTGCCCAGCTCTATTGAAGAGGTAATGACTTAGCTCTGATAGAATAGTATCTCACAGTTCTGGTAGATACTGGTTGGTAATGGTTCTATTTCACTTAACCTTTAATCCCTATAAAAATTTACTTGCTAAGAAACTTTCATATGAAGTTGACTTTTTTTACAATCAATTTTTAGCCCTACAACTAGCCTTTATGTAACTCTGTTTTTCTGAAAAAAAAAAATATTTTTTGCAGAAAATATAATTGGACTTTTATATAATAGATTTTTCAGTTCATTGGCAGTTCTGAAAACTATTTTTAAAGACAGTGTAATTGAAATTAGCAGGTTTTCTTAATTGTGTTTTGGCAAATTGAAAAGACAAAACAAGGCTGAACTAAGTTAATGCTGCCTAATCAGAAAGAAAACCATTTCATTTTAAAGATTTCTTTAGAAAGAAAATTAAGTGAGTTATGATAGTGTCCCATGTATGTAAAATGTAGAAGTTTTCTTCATAAAAAGCTGTGATGAGTAATTTGAGTATTTCAGACTATTTACATTTTCTTTCTCTTTTGAAACAATTTCTTAAAACTGGTACAGCTTACTTTGCTGTTTCAGATGACTCTAGCCTGTGTGGCTGGATAAAAGTTCCAGCCAAAAATTTTGCTCAATGTAAATTAAACCTCTACTTTTCCTATTCTACAACTATCCATCATTTTTGGTATGGTCTAGACTAGTACAAACTTTCCTCTGAGAATCTTGTGACCGTTTCAAATTGTTGCTTGTTTGTTATGAGTGAGTAAAAAGGAATATTTTCAAATCACAGAAGTAAAAGGACTTCATGAGACTTGCAGCTATTGCATCCTCCATCAAAATGGTTCTCCCACTTGTTAAGTGTGAATCTTGATAAATACCAAAATGATCTAGTCATCTCATCTTAATTGGAACATTGCACCTTGCTTACCTTTTCTTTAGGAATTACAAACTTGCTGTCTTCTGAAATTCAGTGTAATTGCATGGCAGTTCTCTGCAGCTAATCAACAAAAGTTTCTATAGTGTATTGCAGGTAATTTCAGATTCACAGAAGAAATATGCATGTAGTAGAATTCTGCACTAATAGTGATTTTTTTTATACAAACTACATTCTTTTGGAATTTTTTCTTGCAACAAAAAAAGTTTCATATTTTGATTTACAGGATAGCCAGTGACCTTGCAAAAGTTTTGTTTAAAATATATTTCAAAATAGACTAGCTATGTAGGATGTTTGGACTGAAGACAGAGTAAAGTTTGGATTGAAATTCTTAAAATAAGAAATCAGGAAGCACTGAACCATGATGAAATTTGTATCAGTTTCTGACTGCATGACTAAGGTTGTAATCTAGTTGTAACTGTAATGATTCATCTGCGAAATGTATCTGGAGGTTAAATCTGGGCAAGCATACAGTAAGCTTACTTTTACTTAAACATAAATACCCCTTTTGCCATCAAACACGTAACTCAAAATTGATTTATTGTAAGAGCATACCTTAGGATGTACATTAAAATGATTAGAAAGGGGAGAAAAGAGAGGCAGTTGAGAGGAAAAACAATCAATTCTGTCTCAAATTATAATATTCATGAATACAGCTTACTCTTATGGAACAGTTCCACTTGAGATCTGCTGTAATTCAAGCCTTGAAAATCCTCTTCAGGATTGCAAATTCATTTGCATTTATAGTATTATTTTCCTGAAATTTAAAGTCATGTTTTTATATGAGGTTATTTATTTGACAAACTATGCAACACATAACAGAGAGCATATTTGTACTTAGTTTGGGGCAATAATTAATTATCTATTAATTAATTAATTATGTCCTAATATACTTGTCCTTCAGAAGCAAAAACATATTTCCCTATAGAAATAAGATTTATATAGTCACACTATCTTTTTACACTTTTTTTTATTTGCTATCTAATTGCAAATTACTCTGGCAGTAAGGGTAAGATTTCAAACAATGCTTCCTTCAAATTATATAGAAATATGTGTAAAATAGAAAGAACAGTTGGAGCATTTGCAGTCACTTGATTCTGTCAGATTATTTCTGTAATTCAGTGTGGCAGTCTACATGTCACAGCCAAATTATTTGGTGGAAGGCAATTATATATGTCTGTTTTTATTACACGTGTATATAAACTTCATTTTTAAATTAAATATTCCAATTAGCTAGAAGATACAAATCCACAGCAAATCAGATTCAGCCATTCAGATAATTATGGAGTTTCCAAAGAAGACCATCGGACAGACAAAAAGATGGAGAAGTCTGTACAGTGCAGTGTTCAAAAGCGTTTCAGACTCTTGACTCTGAGTGCTTTATTAGGTGTATATTTTTTCCATATTTCATTGAGAATTGTGAAACTGAGAGATAAGAAAAAATATTTTAAAGAATTAACTCAAAGATACAAGTGTAAATCTCAAAGCACCTATTCATTTCCATAGTCCAGGCCTCTCGTCTTACATCATAGGCATTATGAGGGACTGAATATTCCAGAAGTATTTGCAACACATAAGCATTACAGAAGAGTATTCAGAAGCTTACTAAATACATGTAGTCACATGCACACACATGGAGAATACATGATAGGTCTGGTGCATTTGGAAGAGCTCTGCTACATGCTCTGTGGGGCAGGTTGAATCTGGATTTAGCATAGGAACCATTATTCCCCTATCTGCCAAGTGCAGCTGTGGCCTGGTGACCTTTCCTGTACTGCATATACCTGCATACCTTGCAACAGTAAGCTGATAAAATGAACCAAAAAAGAAGTAGAGGATTATTTTACATTGCTAAGAGAACACTATATTTTGTATCTGTCCTTTGAAGACCCAAGGACACTCTGCTTTATCTTCATTGTTTTCTCTTCCTGCCTCTCTCCAGCTTGTTAAGAATGTGAAAGAAAGAAAGTGTAAAATTGATGATAAAAATACGTTTTTCTGAAAGATCTCAACTGTTCAGGATTGCATTTGGGGAAGTCATGTCAGCTTTGTATATAAGTTAGATCATCACTATGATCCCCCTAGCTTCACAGTTAGTAAGCTCTGAAAATATCTCAG